GGAAGAGGGCAGAATCGAACCCCTCATTTTCACTTCATTTTCAGATCCTTCGAATCATGACGTGTTGACCATTACACCATCGATCCTCAGTGCCTCATATCCAGCAGCTACAGCTTATGATTCTGTATGTATGGTACCAAATATACTTTAATCGAGAAAACAGCGCATAATCTCCAATTTTTCGCTGATTTTCGTGGTCTGTATACGTCTGCTTGGGAAGGTGCCCTTCAGTCATCCAAAATTAGTGGTATCCGATACTGGAGAAAACAATATGATGGAAAATAAAACGTAAATTCCAGACAATTAGGGTGGGAATCATTGCCCGAGAGCGCAAGCCTAATTCTCGAAGTGGTGGACTCGGAGTTCTGGATCATCATTTTTGGACTACCAAAACAACAAGAACAAATTTTCGTTTCACTTTCATACAGATACTGGTAATAACATACATAAAATATTCAAAAAAAAATATTCGATATCCGAAATAATCAAAAAATATCCAAAAAAAATTAAAAAATATCCAAAAAACACATATATTTATATCAAAAAACAGTCAGATGAACAGGAATGTTCCGATCCATTAAGTTGTACACACCCCTGTTCAGTGCGAAAACTGAACCTCATCAGCACGACGGTTGTAGTGTTGATAAACTGATAAAATAAGAGTAATATGAGGGAATAATGTGAATTCAAATATTTAATATTATAATGATATGAACGGGATAATAATGTATTAGATATATGAATTTGCCTTTTAGTACAATAAGGAATTGTGCAATTCCGTATTTTACCCATATCTTGAGTGTACGAGGAAAAACTGAAAAAACAAAAAAAACAAGTTTGAAGCCTATTTTTGAGGAAAATTGTTCTATTGAAAACACACAAAAAAACAAGTTCATCAGTTCCACGAATAAAAATTCCACAGAACCGCTAGCACGGCGACGTTTTTCAAAAATAATTAGCTAGAACAGAAATACCGGTACATCGCAAAATCTGCTGAAATTAGGGAAACAGGAAGATAAGGTGAAGTAGTTCGGAATAAAATTCAAATAATCTGGCCTGTAAAACTGCCCAAAAATTTCCCCTTCAACTGCAGTTAAAATAATTGGCCCGCGTAAAAAACGACTGCCGGTACAAAGATGCGCTTTTTGCACAGTTTCCCTCAGGTTTTTCTTGCTAATGGCACTGTTTTTTTTTTT